TACCTGACCACACCTGTACCTCACCTGCACCTGACCACACGTGTACCTGACCACACCTGTACCTCACCTGCACCTGACCACACATGTACCTGACCACACCTGTACCTCACCTGTACCTGACCACACCTGTACCTGACCCCACCTGTACCTGACCACACCTGTACCTGACCACACCTGTACCTGACCACACATGTACCTGACCACACCTGTACCTCACCTGTACCTGACCACACCTGTACCTGACCACACCTGTACCTCACCTGTACGTGACCACACCTGTACCTGACCTCACCTGTACCTGACCACACCTGTACCTCACCTGTACGTGACCACACCTGTACCTGACCTCACCTGTACCTGACCACACCTGTACCTCACCTGTACCTGACCACACCTGTACCTGACCTCACCTGTACCTGACCTCACCTCTACCTGACCTCACCTCTACCTGATCACACCTGTACCTGACCTCACCTCTACCTGACCACACCTGTACCTGACCACACCTGTACCACACCTGTACCTGACCACAGCTGTTGCCATTTTCCCAATTTTTACCTTCTTTTGTCTAAATTAAATTTTTATTAAACATTTTTTATATTTTGTTTTTAAATTCAATGTTTGCTTCTTACAAATTCTTTTTGTAGTTTCAAGTTTTTCTGCTTTTTAAGTTACTTTTTTCGTAAAGATTTACTACTTTCTACTAATTCAACTCCATTTCTGCTTTGTTTGTCTTTTTTAACAAGTTGGTTGATTTCTCCTGAGTTATAACTTTTGTTTTCCTACAAGTTGCAAAAGTCAGCTGTTCAAATTTAACTCACTAACAGTTTTGCCTGTTAAAMCTTTTTCAGTTTGACTTCAGCTTTTTCAGCTAAAATCTCTCAGCAGCCGTCTTTTATCTGAAGTTCATTCTGTTTATCAAACATCAGGAGCTGAACACAGAAATAAATGTTTGTTAATGTTTTCCACAGGCTTGGATCGGCTACTTTAACGACGTTAACAGCTGGAGGTGGTCGCTGACGGATGAAGCATTCTACCAAGGCTACGGGACCGGCTACAGGGCGTGGGTATCAGGTGAACCGTCCAACTCCGGGGCTGTGGAGGCGTGTGTGGWGGTGTCCAGTACAGGTTGGAACGACGCACCCTGTAACATCCTCCGTAGAGCAGTCTGTGCTACTGTGAGTGGTAAGAGTTTGAATCCACAATCAGCAAACACAACATCTTTACAGGTCGGAACAACTGGAATACAAATTGTAACAAAATGATATTAAATGTTGGTTGAATATAACGGAATGGTAGCTAGAAAATACCACTATTTAAATGTTAAACATGAACAAACATGCGCTAAAAATAGCAAAACTCTAGCCAGAAGTATCATTATGTTAACTAAAAAAAAGAAAAAGGCTAGCACAGAGCTAAAGCTAGCAAAAGCCAAGCTGAAATGTTTGCTAAAAGAAGCAGCAGCACAAAGCTAGCTGCAAACTAAAAGTCGCCTTTTTGAAATAGAGAAACATTAACTGAAATGTAAAAATAGCAAAAATAAATAAATAAATAAATAAATAAATAAATAAATAAATAAATAAAACAATATGCTAGAAGAACAACAAAACTAGCTAAATGCTAGGTAAATGTAACTAAATGCTAGCAGAAGTAGCTAACAGCTAACTAAAAGCTAAAAAATTATTTCTCTCAGGGAAAGTTTTGTAAATCAGAAGATTTCCTAACATTTGACTTGAATAATTAGTAAAACATTCTGGACGTGTCTAGCTCTGCCTCAGGGCTCAGATATGTTTGATTTTATGGTTTTCTTCGGTTCTTCGTTGGTCTTTTTTCAGGTCAGACTGAAACTCTTACCCTGATCACAACTSTAATGACCTGGCCCCAGGCTCTGAGCTACTGCAGGGCCCACTACACGGACCTGGCCAGCGTCAGAAACTCAGACGATAACAACAGAGTTAAAGGGAACATACTGGATGGAGGCTCGGTGTGGATCGGTCTGTTCAGAGACCAGTGGAAGTGGTCCGATGGAGACAAGGCCTCCTACACCTTCTGGGCGTGGGGGCACCCTAGCGGCCCCACACAGAACTGTGTGGCAGCAAACTTTGGGAACTCTGGACTCTGGACGGAACAGACGTGTGGCACACCAAAAGCATTTATCTGCCACTACGGTGAGTCCTGACGACCGCTTTGTTCCAGAAACCAACTGACCAGAGCCGATGATGATTTAACGATGACTTGTTGAACTGATGAATCTTTGTGTTGCTTTTCTAAGACCCCGTGCCTTTTTCAAAGCTTGTGATCAAAATAAAGCTGGTGAAAAACAACGTGTTGGACCTGAAGGATGCTGCCGTCCTGGAGGACCTGCTGAAGAAGGTATAACCTGTCAGGTGTAAAGAGCAGAGGCGCTGCTCGCTCCAGAACACAGTCACTGTGGTACGAGAGCGACGCCATCTTGTGCAGGGCGGGCTGTCAGTGTGACCCATGTTTCATGGTTAGACCTCTGTGAGGATTCACAGATATATCTTCTATAACTGATTCATCACAAGATAAATGAGAAAGTCCTGGTTAAGAAAACAGTGTTTAGATCAATCTGCTATTATAAACAATGCACAGATTATTATAAATACTGCTAATAAAGTCTAAGAAATGTTGTGAAAATAACTAGTTTCACACATTTTTCCTTCCTTACTAAAGAAAACTTCTCATGAAACAAAAATAGAAATGAAACGACTATAAAAACTGACTGCTGTGATTACATATTATAAATATTTACAGTATAATATTACATATTATAAATATTTATAATATTACATATTTACAATACCTGGGACTGGTACGTCAGACTGGGGTGGTGGTCCCCCTGTTTAAAAAGGGGGACCGGAGGGTGTGCTCCAATTACAGGGGGGTCACACTCTTAAGCCTCCCTGGTAAGGTCGGATAGTCGAACCTCGGATTCAGGAAGAGCAGTGTGGTTTTC